TTCACATTTCTTTCCTCCTTACCTTCCTCTAAGCATCTTACAGTCTGTTTTTTCCTCTGCACTCTGAGCTCTGTGGTCGCTCTCCCAACTCTCGATGTTGTTTTACAGACTCGCTGTGTCCACGTTCCATCTTCTCAGCAATGCACTTTCATCTTCCCTCCTGGTTTTATCAGCTCCTAACAGCTGCCCTGTTTCTACCCCCTCTACTCTGTACTCTTGCTCCTGTTTCTGGACGCCCCGCGTACTCTGCTCTTTCCTGTATACCTATGCGCCCTCTACTCTGTCGGCAATTCAGTCTATGACAGTCATGTAATGTAATGTTGAAAACTGGACTTTTGCTGTTGATGGTTGAATTGTGTTTTTACCGTTTTGAAGTTTTTGTTTGTTTCTTTGTTTGTTTATTTCTGTTCATTTTATTTGTCTAAAGCCTTCCTGCGCCTTTGTCTCAGCCCCGTCTGTCTGCTCACTAAACCATCTATGTAGGCCTGGAACAACTATGTGACCGAATCCTTCTCTGATTGGTCCTAGCTGGAAAAAAAGGGGGAGTGTAACCTGCTCACCCGCCTCTGATAAGGTGCCTAGAGGAGACCAGACACTGGGTGACTGCGGTGAGGATAGTGCAGAGATGAATCCAAAGCTACATACAAGGCCTGGGTCTTGATCTAGTATCACAGCTGTTCCCCTTGTTTTGTCTTTTTGGCGAGGCTCGGCACAGATCGGCCAGTGTAATTGAATGCTTGGTACTAGGGATGACTTGTGCAGCAGATCAGTGGTTTTGCTCTGTGCCTTTAGTCATCCTGTCTGACCTTCTCCAGCGCTTCAGGAGTCTCATAGAGCCCAACCTCTCTCCTGCATATTCGCTCCCTCATCCAACTGTGCCACGCTGCAGTTTGCCCCCACCCTCCTCCTTTCCCAGCACCACAAGAACGTCCGACATATCATTCCTGTCACAAATCAATGAAGAATTTGGAAGAATGTAAAATGAATGGAAAGAAACTGTCAACCTATCAGACGTGTGATGTGAGATTTCTGTTTCAGTTCACTGTCAGGCCAATGGCGCCTTCCTCAGCCTCCGCTTCAACTTCAGGCTGGAGTTGTTAGTTATAAAGAAGATATTATATTGTAATTATACAGAAGCATTGTCTTATTTTTGAAGAAGCTACCGTGGTGCTGACGGCCCTCATACATTACTGACAGAATAATCTGAAAATGAAGAGAGCTGCTGATGTTACATCACTGTCCTGCCTCTCACTGAAAAAGTCAAACTATGACTTGCTGAAGGATGACGTTGTTACACTGTCAACCTCTCTGCATTTTTTAAAACTGCATATCGGGTTGCTGTAGTTGTTCTCTCTGTAAGCAGAGACTGTGAAGTGGTCTGTGGTTTTAGGTTCTCCTAAATTAGCAAGGCAACGTGGCTTCCACGCTCTGTCAACAGCAGAACAGAGTTTTGTCTGTCTCCATGCGAAATCATGTGAAACATATGTGTCTGTGCCACTTTCACATCACGGTAGCTGCACTCAGGCTGCCTGACACTCTGGTCGCTGGTGTGCATCCAGATAACTCCCTGATGTCTCTACTCCCTTGTTAGAAACTGCCTTGCCACTGTTTTTTGCATCGACATGTTATGATGAACGTGAAAGGCTGATCTTTAAAAGAAACTGCCTCCTTTCAGAAGTCTCACAGAGGTACTTGGATGTTTTTGTTTGCGTCATTCATGTCACTACCTAGTGCAGCACGACTTAATCCTAGTAGTAGCAAGATAAAATTCAACTTGGTAGCGTCTCTGTTCATATAGCCTGATAAGGCCCCTTCACATCTGTCTGCTTTTGTAGATAACAACTATATGATAATGATGTCTGTGACCTGAGGGTCAGATCAGCCATTCCACAAGATCTTCTGTCCAGTTATAGTGTCTGAATACAGAGGTGATCAGCTGTACATCAGGAATGTCAATAGGAAACAAGTATTTATGTATTCCCTGTATGTTCCTGAAAATGACCGATATCAGTGGAAGTGGAAAAAAATACAACTACCCTAATCATACATTGTCCTAATTCTGAGTATTTTCTTGTGCATAATGTTTGATTAAAATTTGTATAATGCATGATTAGGAATGTACACTTTTTATTTCCTGTTCATCGGACATGCTTACACTAACAAAAACATTGTCATTCCATCTTGTCCTTTCTTCATAGTCTTTTTTTTTTATAAAGTTTACTTGCCCATTCTCTGTTTTTGATGGTATTTTGTTTTTATCTATTCTAAAATCATTCATTTGAAGACAACAAAAAAAAAGATATTGTTGAATGTTTTAAATTATTATACACAGGGGAAGGAAGGGGGCTCTGTTTGCTGTCAGGAGACACAGGACTTGGGGCTCACGATGTGAAGCGGTGTACTGAGAGACAACCCACTCTTGTCTTAAATCTCTATTGGTTCAGTTGTAGTGAGTTATTTGACCAACGTTGGCTTGTGAGATTGAAATATATTCCTATATGACTGACTTCTGAAGGTCCTGTCTTTTCATTTCTCCATTGATTCTCCAGCTGTGTAATGTAAAATGTGTTAAAGGGGGCAACATCAATGATCCACATTCCCTTTAAAGAAAGTCCAACCCAAATTAAAAATAAAGGCTGTAAGAAGCTGCTGTAGTCTTTTTGTGTTACAGTGAATAAATATACAAACACACACGCCTGTCTGTGTATGTGACTGAAAGACTGCAAGTGTTTAACAGAAGTGTGTGTGTTCATTTCTATTTTCCACATTTGAATTATTAGATGTACTGTAGATGTATCGCTTTGAACTTCAATTCCCAGAAAGCATTGCATGACAGCGGAAGTAAGTGAAATTATTATTAACAGACAGCGAGTAGCTGAGTTGAGTAAAGTTCAACTGACTTATCCGCTGATCGTGGATTTCTTTATATCAAGCAAAACTAATTTTTTGAAAGCAAATGTCACTTTTATTTTGATAGAAAGGAGCAGACAGGCTAGCTTTCGTTAGCATCAACACAAAGCTAACGAGTAAAATGACCTGTGTGTATTTTCAGTATAAAAGCATTCAAACTAAACTTATAGTATGTACTTGAAAACCTACGTGAAAAAGACACGACGATCACCCGCTACGCTACTAATTTAAAATGCAAAATTCAAAGCCCATCATATGTATTAAAAAACATCCATATTGTTAAGTCAATCTAAGTTGAGGTAGCATTGATATCGAGCTAGCAGATCAAAACTAAGACAAATGCATTATAAGCTAAAATCACTTAAATAAAAAGATGTTTTCGATTCGACTCTGTCTTGTGAAGAAGGTTAACTCCATTGTGAAGTTGTGAGTTGTTTACTGTGGAACCATGTGGCTCAAACATCAACGGGAGCTTAATTTCGAAAAGCTGCAACCGGAAGTGCAATCTGTGTGTCCCACTGTGAATTGACGGCAGTTGTGACTAACTGGAGCTTCACTGGACTGTTCACAACAACAGAAGAAGAAGACGCTCCACTTCTGACCGAAGGAAGCACGGTCGCGATTTTTAAAAATAAAAAACTGCTTCGGAACAAAAACCAACGGAAACCAGCGTCACTCGTGCGACAGGGCTCCGCTTGTGTTTGACTTGGCGGTTATTGTTTGCTCCGAGCTCGCCTTGTCCTCCTCCTCCTCCTCCTCCGCAGGCACAGCGGTGGTGGTGGTGTCGGCTGATACATCTGATACGAGTCGTTGTGGAACATGGCTCAGCATGGGCACCATGTAGCCAGTTCCCAGAAAGCACTGATGCTGGAGATGAAGAGTCTCCAAGACGAGCCGGTGGAAGGCTTCAAGATAACTTTGGTGGACGAGTCGGACATGTACAACTGGGAAGTAGCGATATTCGGACCCCCGAACACACACTACGAGGGTGGTTATTTTAAGGTGAGTGGCTAATGTTAGCTAGCAGGCGATCTATTGTTCTGTAGCTGCTTGATTTAGCTTGTATTAAAGTAGTTCACTCACAGAGGACAGTCCAGCGGCTAACATTAG